CACACACATATATATAATTTCATTATGATCTCAAGACAGTTAAACCCCGTCACATGACACATTTCTTTATGTTTTCAAATAACTTTTGAAATAGATTATTATTAGTAGCCTATTCCACAGTTGCTTACATTATAACATGGCTCAGTGTTCACCCGTATCATTGCTCAGACTATAATTCAACGCTCAGACAGACTGTAATATGAGCATACTAAAATCTGTCTTCTGCTGCAGGTGAAGCTCTGTTTCGCCACACAAGCACCTCAATATCGAGACACACGGCTCATATCCACACACCACCGCTGCTGCTGCTGTTGGCAATGTTTACAGCGTGTTCTTGGCACAAACACAATGTAAATATCTCATGTTGGCCACTGTTAAAGTGCAAAAGGATAAAAAAAGGGAACCTGATGGACAGACAGACAGATGATGGTCAGTCGAGTCACGTTCAGCTTTTGATTAGTCAACATGTGCCCCGCTAATGATTCAACTGGCCAAAATAAAATGATGTCGGCAGGACTTCCTCTTTTTTGCATGATTCAGGTTGCAGATAGTGAAGTTTATAGTCATCTGGATATCTGGTGTGCCGGATGTTCTTTGCTTTTCTTCTCATACATTTGACTTAATATTTTTAAGATGTTGCAGATTGTATTTAAATCCACAAGCTCACTATTAACACAGCGATTAAATGAAATGTTGATTCTTTGTACAGAATAATCGCAATGCAACTATCATGCACACAGCAACTTGTATGCAGAGACATTATAAACCCGCCATATTTTGCTCTAGGAAATCTTTTGCAAATAAAATCAACAGTACTTTATATAAATGTGGCAGGTTGAAAGCACTGCATATTTCTGATAAGTGCAGCATTATATTCTGTTTAAGCACATGAATAGTGAATAAATGTTCATCGGCCATAACTGATTTGTGATTGTGCATTTCCAAATGACTGCATTTCCGATTATATTATATTTCCAGGGTCGGAAATGGGCTTGTGTTTGGAGCAATGTCTGGTTGCTGTTCGGTTTAAGTTTATCATTGTCTTGAGTTTATTAATATGATCGTGAAATGCAGAAGTGTTGTACTCAGCATTGCTCATCGGGATTTGAATGTGTGCGTACAGTCATTGAAGGAGGAATCATATCTCATCACGTTTTATGCCTTTTTAACATTTTGCCCTTAAAAAAAGGGTAGACAAGTTTGCATTCCTGCACTTTTGGTGTGATAAAGCTTTACAACGAGACACATATTGTGCATTAAATGTAACTAAAGACTGAAAATCCCAGGCCTTTATGAATCCTGATGACTCTTCTGATGAAACAATAATGCTGTCGGACGATAATTGTGGAAGAGGAAGTCTGTCTGTGTGTCAGAGGTGAGGCACAGAGGTGATTGTGTCTGCGGTCAGTCTGTCTGTATATTTCAGTGCATGCCAAAATATCCATTTTGGATTGTTTAATCATAAATACATATAAACCATACTTAGCTGTTGATTCAAAAAAGAGATGCTTATTAAATGCCCATTTTATTAGACGGATTTCTCTCTCATGTGTCTGTGGGTGCGATCAGAAATACATTGTGTAGTTAGTCTCTCATTATTGCAAAATATTATTTTATTATTTCAGATGCATTCAGTTATATGCACCAACGGCCAGTTATATGGTTTATTTGACCACAGAATGCCATGACTGACCAATCAAAACCCAAGTATGTGAGAGAGCCGTATAATAAGATGATATATTACAGATGGTGAGCTTAACTTATGTCTCCACAAAGCAGCTTCAAAGTCTTGAAGTCTGGCTCAAATGAAATAAAGCAGATACTGAAAGCCATATTTGTTTTGGGCATTTTTCACTGCAGATTTTATTGGAACTGTAAATCAGTACAGTAACATTTAAATCACTCTATCTTAAAGGCAGAGTAAGTGATTTCTGGTAGCCAATGTTGATATTTGAAATCACCAAAACAAACACGCCCCTACCCCAAAAGGGTCTTGCCCCTATTTTGATAGCTCCGCCCCACACATACATACGCAACCCAGGCAACGATTAGTTCTGTGAAACAAAGCAAAACCAATGTTACACCGTGTCTACGGAGGTGAGCGGCGCGGCGCAACAAATCTCGACAGAAAACTGCTGCCGGGTTCTATTTATGACGTGCTGACACAAATTTCAAATGGTTTTCAGTGGTCGTTTGAGCGCGTCCAGTGTATGCAGACTTTAGCTGTTGTAGACACGGTGTTACTCGCCTATTGAGAAGAAACAAAGCAACCTCGGCGTCCGATCGTAAGCCTCCACTCCTTGTGTTCTCTCCAGCACTGGAAAGATGATCCGATATTTACACGGGTCCTACTTCTTGCCTTATTGCCTTAAGCCTTCTTTTGTTCCGCAGATGTTTTCCTCTTTTGTTTTTTATCCGCCATCTCTATCTTTCTGTCGCTCGGCTCGGCTAATGTCCATCCTGTGCACTGAACGCTCTCTCCTCCACATCACGAGTAGACACGCCCCTTATTGCTGATTGGCTACAAGTTTGTTTTGCTATTCGGCCCGAATCAGTTTTCTAAAGTGTTTTTGAAAAATCACATACCCTGCCTTTAAAGAAGGTTAGTAATAAACTCATATACTGCTTAGTTTGCTATGTAACAGCTTGTAGATATCGCATTGGACCTGTAAGAAAGTGTTATACAACAGGATAATACCTTAGTCATATTTTCTCTTGAGGGTGTGAAAACTTGTTTAAGCTACTTTGTCAAATGCACAAATATCTCCATATAGTATTTAGGCCTAGACATTTTAGCCACACATGAAATGAATGTCGTTGTATAACAAAATGTCAAAGAGTGTCCCTGTATCTGTGCTCATGTGATACAAACTTCACTTTTCAAAGACAACTTGCCTCCTCCCACCTTTTTCATTATATTTGTTTTACTTTTAATCATCTTAACATTAAAGTGTGAGCTCAGTTTCCCTCAAGTTCAAACAGGTGTTTTAGCAGAGAAACCGCAGGTGCAGTTCACACCTGCGCTTCACAACCACAAACCGTCACAAGTATTTTATCTTCATTTTCAACAACTAGTTGTTTTTTATCACTTTTGAGAAGTTTTCTGCTTGAAGCGCACTTGTGCTTTGTTTCTGTAAAATAAATGCCATTAGTTTGATATTCTGTTATACAAAGACTTCCGGTCTGTATTCGATATTCTGTACTGTATTACACCGTCATTTGAATATAAACATCTTTATTGAATATTTGTAAAATTGATATTATATTTTGTGACATAGCCTGGGATTTCAAATTGAGGGCCATGAAAATGTTCCAAGAAAAACAGCGTAATAACTCAAATACATTTGATTAAAACTTATTTAATCAAATAAAAAGATTAATGCATAATTATTAAATAAATAGCAATTTAAAAAAAAACAATATGTATCTAACAAAAACAACAACAAAACGAACAAAAAAAGCTGTAGGATTTACTTATAAACAATTTTCACGCAGAAATCGCTAGATTTCACAAAGAATTCAAAACAAATAGCAAATATCACATTGAATTAAATGTGACATTTTGAAGAAGAGAGACTATAAAGAAGTATAGAGAAGTATTTTCTCGTTAAACACACTCCTAAAAAACAGCTGAAACCATAAGCTCCAGCCTGGTCATAGCTTGCAGACTGGTTTTAGAGGGGTTTTGATCACTTCTGTAGCTGGTCACACCAGGTTGGGAGACCACGTGACTAAAACCAGCTGGAAAACCAGCATAGACTGGTTTTAGCTGCAGGGTTACAGTCTTCGTTTATTTACAAGTTCATAAAATCATTTTTACAGCGTATAAACAAATGTAATAATGTTACATAATAGAAACTAAACATTTTCCAAACGATAGGGCTATGTTACGGATCGCCTACCAGTCAAAAGTTTTTGGACAGTAAGATTTTTAATGTTTTTTAAAGAAGTCTCTTCGTTTTAGCTGCAGGGTTACAGTCTTCGTTTATTTACAAGTTCATAAAATCATTTTTACAGCGTATAAACAAATGTAATAATGTTACATAATAGAAACGAAACATTTTCCAAACGATAGGGCTATGTTACGGATCGCCTACCAGTTAAATGTTTTTGGACAGTAAGATTTTTAATGTTTTTTAAAGAAGTCTCTTCTGCTCACCAAGCCTGCATTTATTTGATCCAAATTACAGCAAAATCAGTACAATTTTGAAATAATTTTACTATTTAAAATAATTGTTTTCTATGTGAATATATTTTAAAATGTAATCAAAGCTGAATTTTCAGCATCATAACTCCAGTCTTCAGTGTCTCCTTCAGAAATCCTTCTAATAAACTGATTTGCTGCTCAAGAAACATTTTATTATTTTATCAATATTTAAAACAGTTAAGTACATTCCTTTCAGGATTCTTTGATGAATAGAAAGTTCCAAAAATCAGCATTTATCTGAAATAAAAAGCTTTTGTAACATACACATACACTAAATACCATTCAAAAGCTTGGTGTCAATGTAATATATATATATATATATATATTTTTTTTTTTTTAAATAGAAATTAATTATTTTATTTTAGCAAGGATGCTTTAAACTGATCAAAAGCGATGATAAAGACATTTATAATGTAACAAAAGATTTCTATTCCAGATAAATGCTGTTCTTCTGAACTTTCTATTCATCAAAAAAACCTGAAAAATGCTACTCGGCTGTTTTCAACATAATAATAATAATAAATGTTTTTTTTTTGAGCAGCAAATCAGAATATTATAACGTACTTACTGTCCAAAAACTTTTGACCGGTAGTGTATTTAGAATAGAATTCATTTTCTGAGTTTTCCTGAAGCTTCATTACAGAAAGATAAACACATGAGCTCATCATATTGTGTTGTTTGTGTGTTGATGGGATATCCCGCGCTGCTGTGTTGTGTGTTGTTCGGTTGCTGGGGGGCGGGGCCTAGCGCTCCATTCTCTCTTATTTTTATAACGTCTGCTGGCGTCACGCGCGGAGAGTTCCGCATTCCAAGCGCCCAGCGATACATAAACGCGCTGATGCAACGGGACCAGACGCGCAGACGAGCTGAACGGACAAGCACCCGCCAACTCTCAGCACCGAACAAGTAAGTGCTTTAATCTGCTGGTATTATAATGCATTTACACTGTAATCACAGAGTTGAATTCGACAAGACATCGGGCGCGTTGTAAAGGTGCTGCACTTCAGATGATTTCATATTTATATAGAGACAGAACTGCATTGACAGTGAGATACAGGCTACTAATAAAACCTAGGGATGAATTCAATTATATGCATGCATCACTGATGTCCTGAATGTATTTTCCGTAACAGCCAGGTTATTTAATGCACACTGAAGTACATTCTGTACTGTGCTTGAACTGTTATGCGCAGCGTTTTCAACCAGGGGTCCATTAGAGACTTTTAAATGTGATGCATTCATGATTTAATACCTATTATAGAAGGTGGCAATATATATATTTTTTAAGTTATTTAAAAAAGTTGTCTATTATTTTTGAAAATCTTGCTTTTTTATATCAGGGGTCCCTGGTTTGCTTGAGGGTCTTGACGGGGCCCCTGAGTGTTGACGTTTGAGAGCCCTGGTTTAAATGGCTAGACAATGTCAGAGAGTTGCAGTTATGCAACAATATTTTCGAATGCTTATGTTTTTATATATGCATTTTTATTATTTCAACGTTATATTTGTACTTTGCAATTATTTTGTCACACTATTGAAGTCCGCTGCAAAACACCTAAAAGCATTTACTGCACTGAAAAATAGCCTATTTTTATTCATGAACGTACTTTCGTCCTAATTGTTTCTTAATGTTGAAAAGTGTTCTTTTTTTGAACTTTTTGAGAGCGAAAAAGAACAATTTGCTTCCAATCTTACATGTCGTCAGTAAAATGTGTTTTTCTGAAGAACCTTGAAGAATGTAGCCAGAAGCTGCTGCGAATGGCTCGAGGAGTTCTTCAGGATAGAAACATGTTTGACTGTTACATCATCTTCTAATGGCCTTTACAGACAATCCACTAGCTCTTTTAAGCCTCGGTTTTAACATGCGTAGGTGTTGTTTGTGCTCTTGGGAATCTTGAAGTTTCCCTATAACTCTGTGAGAAGCAGATATACAGAGTTTGTGTTCCTCTCGTGGAAACTTCATTATTCTCTGTGGCTTTCCATTTGAGACGATACGCATTTGGACCTATCAGTCCTTGTTAAACTTATTCCAAAATAAAAACTCTTCTTAAACTTGTGAAAAAAGGTGTTTTCTTTAACCCTCTTGTAGTTGTCCAGTCATTTTGACCCTGAGAGGATTTTCTTTTTACTGAAAATGCTAGTTTATGTCATTGCATTGGACTAAAACCTTTACTGACTTTGCTTAAACACGGTATAACATCTTCCTAAAAAATCATTCTTGCACTTTTTAGCATTGGCCTACAAGAAATTGCTTATAAATGCTTATATATTATAGCATATGTGACCCTGGAGCACAAAACCAGTCTCGAGTCGCTGGGGTATATTTATAGCAATAGCCAAAAATACATTGTATGGGTCAAAATTATAGATTTTTCTTTTATGCCCAAAATCATTAGGATATTAAGTAAAGATCATGTTCCATGAAGATATTTTGTAAATTTCCTACTGTAAATATATTCAAACTTCATTTTTGATTAGTAATATGCATTGCTAAGAACTTCATTTGGACAACTTTAAAGATGATTTTCTCAATATTAGATTTTTTTGCACCCTCAGATTCCAGATTTTCAAATAGTTGTATCTCAACCAAATATTGTCCGATTCTAGCAAACCATACAGCAATGAAAAGCTTATTTGTTCAGCTTTCAGATGATGCATAAATCTCAATTTCACAAAATTGACACTTAAGACTGGTTTTGTGGTCGAGGGTCACATATATAAATGCACCGTATAAATATTGCATAAAATCATTTTGTGCATTCAGCTTGTTTTCTTTCAATTAGCACAGGTTTTGTAGCTCATATAGCTCATTGATCTGATTGAGTTTATGCACCTCAGTTTTTGAGAGATTATTGCCAAAATGATCCACAAATAATGCTTTTTTGACCCCGAAAGCTCAGATCACCGAAGCCTACAATCGATCAGTTCCAAAAAGAAACACAAAACCTGTGCTAACTGAAAGAAAACGAGTCAACAAAAATATTGAATCCAAGACTTGGTGATAATCTAAAGGATTTTCAGGAAAGAACCATTCATACTATTTGCAGTTGCACTTGTATGTGTAAATGCACTTTTAAGATGATCAACAGAAGCACTGACATCTCTCTCTCTGCTTTCTTTCTGAAGCAGCAATGATGCCTGGTCAAATCCCTGATCCGCTGATGACGGCCGGTTCTCTGCCCAGCGTCGGTCCTCTGGCTGGCATTCCCGCCACCAGCCTGACAGACCAGCTCAAACTAGCAGAGCTCTACAGCCTCGGGGCGGTTCTGTCTCCTCTCATCCTGAACAGACACGCCAAGAGACCGTTCGACGTCATCAAGGGTGAGGTGAGAACAAAACATGACATTTAACACCTACAGACATTCAAGGCCAGGTTCTGATTGCATCTGGTAACTCAAATCGCAGATTGCATGTTACATGTTAAAAAAATGCAGACAGGTTAAGTAGTTCAAAACATATGTGCAACAGCTGAGAAAGTGTAAGCAATGTTCTTTCGTTTGAGAAGCTTCTTTGCAAGCGCTTTACTGCCTGGTCAAGAGGGACACCTGGTGGACACAAGAGTTACCATTTGTTTAGGTTTCTTTGAAATGGTTCAGTTTATCTGAACATACTGTGCATTCTAATAACAAATATAAAGCCATTCAAAATTGCACAACACATTTTTTCATGCAACTGATTTTTAATGACGTTTTAAAACCATGTAAACACTTAGTGTCATTTGATTGTGTATAAATGAGTACGCATATATCTAAACGAACACATTGGAACTTTCTGTCCACAGACAGATGACAATGAAGAACGCAAGAAAAGAAGGCGAGAGAAGAATAAAGTCGCAGCCGCCCGCTGTCGAAACAGAAAGAAGGAAAGAACAGACTTCCTCCAGCAGGTGAGTTAGAAAATGTACAAAAGTCCGTTTGAGGATTTATTATCAGTCACTGAGGACAAAGGAAAAGAAAAGTCTAACTATAGCAGCAGTGGTTGACATGCGATTTCAAACAATTTCAGCAGTTTAACATGCTAAAAGTTATTTTATATATCGTTTATTAAAAACTCTTGATGCTTATGTCATTTTTATGCATGCTTTCTTCATTTTTTATTATATTCATTTAGCAATTATATTGAATATTTTGTGCTTTTAAAAATTAATTTGTTATATTGCAGAACTTTAAAACAATTTTATTTAAAAAATATTTAAAATGACATTTTATTAAAATCTAATACTTGTGTAATTATGCATGCCATCTTAATGTTTTTTTGTGTGTGCATTTTTCATTATATTAATTGAGAGTTAAAAACTATTTGAAAGAATATGATGCTTGTGTAGGCCTAATTATAACGCAATGCATTTTTTTTAAATTACGTTTTTTATGATAACTTAGATTTCATGGGATATTTGTGCTTCAAAACAGAAGTATTTAAAATGAACCAGTGAAGGTAAAAATGTCAAAAAAGTCATTTTATTAAAAAAAATTATACATTTTATTTGACATAAAATTACACTTTTAATTAAATTTAATTAAGTGTAATTTTATGTAAAATAAAATATATTTGTATAATTATTATGCATACAATTTTTATATTATCATTTATTTTTCATTTCTTAATTTTTTTAAATTCTGCAAATTGAGAGATTACGTGAAATACTTTTGCTTTTAAAAATTAAATGATTAAATAGTAATTTATATAACCACTACCCAGTAATATTATAACATAAGTACAAGTAGCTCAAAAATGTACATCAAGCTCACATTGCTTATTAGCATTATTCTGTTGTTAGTAATGTAAATACCACCAGAGCTGTCACTTGAATTCACACGACTTTTGTAAATAACCAATAACATGAACACTGTAACATAGCGTGACTGAAAAATCTAAGTGTGTTTTTGTCTCAACAACTTCAGAAATGTGTCCGGTGAGGCAGTATAATTAACCCAACACTTTCTTAGGAGTCTGAACGGTTGGAGACGCTGAACTCGGAGCTGAAGTCTCAGATCGAGGAGCTGAAATCGGAGCGGCAGCAGCATGCATTTTTTTTAAATTACGTTTTTTATGATAACTTAGATTTCATGGGATATTTGTGCTTCAAAACAGAAGTATTTAAAATGAACAAGTGAAGGTAAAAATGTCAAAAAAGTCATTTTATTAAAAAAAATTATACATTTTATTTGACATAAAATTACACTTTAATTAAATTTAATTAAGTGTAATTTTATGTAAAATAAAATATATTTGTATAATTATTATGCATACAATTTTTATATTATCATTTATTTTTCATTTCTTAATTTTTTTAAATTCTGCAAATTGAGAGATTACGTGAAATACTTTTGCTTTTAAAAATTAAATGATTAAATAGGAATTTATATAACCACTACCCAGTAATATTATAACATAAGTACAAGTAGCTCAAAAATGTACATCAAGCTCACATTGCTTATTAGCATTATTCTGTTGTTAGTAATGTAAATACCACCAGAGCTGTCACTTGAATTCACACGACTTTTGTAAATAACCAATAACATGAACACTGTAACATAGCGTGACTGAAAAATCTAAGTGTGTTTTTGTCTCAACAACTTCAGAAATGTGTCCGGTGAGGCAGTATAATTAACCCAACACTTTCTTAGGAGTCTGAACGGTTGGAGACGCTGAACTCGGAGCTGAAGTCTCAGATCGAGGAGCTGAAATCGGAGCGGCAGCAGCTGATCGTGATGCTCAACCTCCACCGGCCCACCTGCATCGTCCGCACAGGCAGCGTGAGGAGCCCCGAGAGCGACGAGCACGTGCTGGACCAGCGATCCGAGCAGTCCGACTGAACACCACACCTCACCACAAACACACAGCTGCTGTCAGGACACCAGCACAGGAAGAAGAAGATGCAGGACATTCACTTTCAGACAAAACAGTCTGGCATTTCTTGTAAAAAATCCCCAACATCCTGTCAGTTTCAGCATGAAGAAAAAAGGGAGGAGGAGATTTGTGTGGACAACAAAGATCATCCAGAAAGCTCAAAGAGGTTTGAACCGCGCTCGTTATGCTGCAGGTGTTGAGGTCTCTCAGTTGATCTGAGCGATTCCTCCAGCGGCTGCAGATGGCGCCCTCTGATAAACTGTTCACCGACGCTGGCGTCTCATGGACCGATTGTTTACACTATTTATTGTATGTACAGTTGTATTGTGCCATCACGTGATATGGTGAATTGTATGTGTTTTATCTTCAGGGTGTCTGTTGAACGGCCACTTTTGTTACCAAATAATGTTTCTTTGTTACATGAAGCCACATTAATTAAAGCCTATTTTTCAAATACAATTTGACTCATTCATTCATTCATGCCTTCTTTCTTTGATTGATTTAAAAATATATATTTTTTAAAAGACTTATTATTTTATATTACTGAAAAATATAATACATTTTTATATTATTTTAAAATATTGTGTATTTAGTTACATATTTATTTACCATTTGTATATTTTAAAATAGCCTATTCTTTAGTTTTATTTGTTAAGAAATATTTGTATATTACTTTTAAGTATTGTTTTAAACATTTAGAAATGATTTATTTACTTATATTTCAGAATATTTAATTGTTTATATTATTTGAAAATATTTGTAACATTTTTAAATATTACTTAAAAACATTATTAATAATTATTCTATTATTTTAATATTATATGACCTTTATATTATTATATTCTTCTAATATATATATATTTTTTTACATTAAAATATCTTTAAAATTTTACTTTAAAAGATTATTATTTAATGTTATTTTTATATTAATATATTATTATTTTTTATTCATTTTAAACAATTATTGTTATTTATTTTTTTATATATATATATATGTTATGTTACTTAATTACTTAGGCTATTTATTAATTATTTTCAAATATTATTTATTAGGCTTAAGCATCCCATGACCGTACAGAAGACTTTTTTACGTTACAAATGTATAATATTTGCATCACTCTTAGATAACTTGATTTTTTCCCCTTTCACTTTCTTTTTTTTCAGTAAACTTTGTTTGTGGAAATGAGATGTTGTCACAGAGAAATTAACTTGAAAAAACCAGGTGATTTCCACTGAGGTTTCCATTGACTTACAGTTGTTTTCCATTGATCCTGTGGTTTTCTCCTTTCAGAATTTAGTCAATTTGATACATTTTTCATATTTGGACACTTAAGACACGAATATATGACATATATAATATATTTGGATTGGTTTATCATTTGTGAAATGTTTGGCTGGAAAAGCTGAACACAGTGACATTCATGCGTTGTACGTGTCGATTAGTTTGCATTTTAGGGCCGCTTTGTAATTTATAATGAAAACAGCTGAAAGCCGGCTTGAGTGGGTTGCTTGTTGTTTGTTCATTTTCTGTCTTTAGTTCTTGTTGTCACGTCAGAATTGGGTTGATCAGCTTTCTTGAGGTCTGGCTTCAGACTTTCTCACTCTGAAAGCTGCTTTGATCAAATGTCTGACCTTCTGCGCAGCAGCTCCAGCCTTTTAAAAATGCGTCTTTTTGGCAGAACATGTTTCTCACGTGGGCGGTTGTCAGAATCTGCTCCTCACCCTGTTTCTCCAAGAGCTTGAGGGAAAAAAATGTTGGTTGGGTGCCACTGAGTCCTACCTCAAGAAGTGTGAGATTTCAACAGACAGATCTGAACACAAACAGCTCATGAGAGCGACCGCAGTGACCTAAAAACAGCACTTCTTATAGCCGAGATCAGAAATCCAGCTAATCTGATTTAACTCGCCAGAGTGTTTCACTCTTTCAGTATTCACATATTTCAGTATTTTACAATGTCCATTTTTCAGCATGTTTCAATATTTAATTTGTTTGCATTTTACTTGTCAGTATTTATTTGTTTATTTTAGTCATTTATTAGACGCTTTTATCCAAATGACAACAGAAGCAATCAATTGTAGTATTAAAACAACTAAAAACAGATCCAAAACTAAAAGCTAAAACTTTATAAACACTACCTATACACATTTAAAAAATAAAGAGATTAAATAAAAATGACAAATGCAGACAACAAAATTTCACAACTTAACATTTACATGAAAAACAAAAAATAAAGCTAAAAACAATTCAAAATATTAAAGAACAAAAGGTATAAGAGTATAATAATGATTCTAACATTTTTTTCCCCCTGTATGATTCTGTATTTTTTATTTTTTCATAGCTTATCTATCTATTTATCCATCCATTCATCTATCTATCTATGTGTGTCAGGTTTTCAGTATTCCATTTATTAAATTTTATCTTTCATTCCTTCCGTTGGTTATTCAGTTTTTTATTCAAATTTTCTAATTAGATTTGAGTTTAAGTCAGGTTATTCAGTCATTAATTTAATCTGTATGACATTGTTTTTGTATTCATCTATATTTCAGTGCTTCCTTCTTTCCTTTTTTCTTTTAAATTAAAAAAATATACATTTCAGCATGTCTGTTTAAATAATCCATTTTGTGTATTTAAATTTTCATTATTTCGGTAGGTTATTATAGTATTATAGGTAATATTTTAGTATGTCAATATAATTTTTTTTATACTTTTTTTTTTTTAACTTATTTAATTACTATATTTTGGCATGTCAGTACTTGAATATTCCATTTTTTTATTTTAATTAAAATGTATTATTATTCCCTAATTCAATATTTAAATATGTTAATATATTTGTATTTAGTATTTCAGTTTATTTATTTAATTTTTTCGTCTGTCTGTCTGTCTGATTGTTTTATGTCATCGTTTCAGTATTTCTGCCTTTGCCGTTTATTGTTTTGTGAATTTCAGTTTTTTGTACATTTATTGTTTTGTTACTCAGTAATTGAACATTTAATATTTTTAGTTTATATTTTGCATTTGGTATTTCTTTTTTTATATTTCGCCATTAATTTATTAATAAGTATATGTATATACAGTGGGTACGGAAAGTATTCAGACCCCCTTAAATTTTTCACTCTTTGTTATATTGCAGCCATTTGCTAAAATCATTTAAGTTAATTTTTTTTTAAATCTCTTTATTTTAATTTTCTTGTAACAACACACACAATGTCACAAAATAGCTACTATACAGGAAAAATATGACATCAAGCACCCTTAACTGTAACACTGTACAATACATGACTTTGGTGCCAAGAACATGAAAGCTTTATATTAGAACACCCCCCACCCCCCCAATATATTATATACGGATGGTTGATTTTTACATTACAAATGTTATGCTTGCATCACTCTTACACAACTTTCTTTCTTTTTTTCCCTTTCACTGTTGTTGTTTTTTTTCAGTAAACTCTGTTTGTGGAAATTAAATGTTGTCACAATAGAAATTAACTTGACAAAACCAGGTTATTTCCACTGAGGTTTCCATTGACTTACAGTTGTTTTCCATTGATCCTGTGGTTTTCTCCTTTCAGAATTTAGTCAATTTGATACATTTTTCATATTTGGACACTTAAGACACGAATATATGACATATATAATATATTTGGATTGGTTTATCATTTGTGAAATGTTTGGCTGGAAAAGCTGAACACAGTGACATTCATGCGTTGTACGTGTCGATTAGTTTGCATTTTAGGGCCGCTTTGTAATTTATAATGAAAACAGCTGAAAGCCGGCTTGAGTGGGTTGCTTGTTGTTTGTTCATTTTCTGTCTTTAGTTCTTGTTGTCACGTCAGAATTGGGTTGATCAGCTTTCTTGAGGTCTGGCTTCAGACTTTCTCGCTCTGAAAGCTGCTTTGATCAAATGTCTGACCTTCTGCGCAGCAGCTCCAGCCTTTTAAAAATGCGTCTTTTTGGCAGAACATGTTTCTCACGTGGGCGGTTGTCAGAATCTGCTCCTCACCCTGTTTCTCCAAGAGCTTGAGGGAAAAAAATGTTGGTTGGGTGCCACTGAGTCCTACCTCAAGAAGTGTGAGATTTCAACAGACAGATCTGAACACAAACAGCTCATGAGAGCGACCGCAGTGACCTAAAAACAGCACTTCTTATAGCCGAGATCAGAAATCCAGCTAATCTGATTTAACTCGCCAGAGTGTTTCACTCTTTCAGTATTCACATATTTCAGTATTTTACAATGTCCATTTTTCAGCATGTTTCAATATTTAATTTGTTTGCATTTTACTTGTCAGTATTTATTTGTTTATTTTAGTCATTTATTAGATGCTTTTATCCAAATGACAACAGAAGCAATCAATTGTAGTATTAAAACAACTAAAAACAGATCCAAAACTAAAAGCTAAAACTTTATAAACACTACCTATACACATTTAAAAAATAAAGAGATTAAATAAAAATGACAAATGCAGACAACAAAATTTCACAACTTAACATTTACATGAAAAACAAAAAATAAAGCTAAAAACAATTCAAAATATTAAAGAACAAAAGGTATAAGAGTATAATAATGATTCTAACATTTTTTTTCCCCTGTATGATTCTGTATTTTTTATTTTTTCATAGCTTATCTATCTATTTATCCATCCATTCATCTATCTATCTATGTGTGTCAGGTTTTCAGTATTCCATTTATTAAATTTTATCTTTCATTCCTTCCGTTGGTTATTCAGTTTTTTATTCAAATTTTCTAATTAGATTTGAGTTTAAGTCAGGTTATTCAGTCATTAATTTAATCTGTATGACATTGTTTTTGTATTCATCTATATTTCAGTGCTTCCTTCTTTCCTTTTTTCTTTTAAATTAAAAAAATATACATTTCAGCATGTCTGTTTAAATAATCCATTTTGTGTATTTTAATTTTCATTATTTCGGTAGGTTATTATAGTATTATAGGTAATATTTTAGTATGTC